AGGCATGATTATTTGACAGATAATCATCATGCCGCTGTAGTAGCCGTCTCTGGCACGTCTGGGTCGGCAACGTCCTGAGTGCTGAGTGCGGGCTCGCATTTGGGCTGGACATGGTATCCATGGTCGAGCTCAGGATCCCGGGGTAGAGCTTTTGCTGGACCCGTCTACTCATGGACAATGTACTCTGCCATCTCGCCTGGTAACACCTTGTCCGTATCCACTCGGTGAATTATCCGGCCAAGTTCAACTGATCAGAGAATTATGTTTCGTGGTATCCGTACTTCGTAGTGGGCAGAACTTGGTGATTGCTGCTGCTCAGGCAGACTCACCAGGCCCAGCAACTAGTTTCCATCAGTCAACGCCACAACACACTCGTGCCGCAACCCGGGAAGAATGAGGTGCCGAGACTGGCCGACCCCTGTATTTGTATCCATACTTCGATGTATCGTCAGGCCGAACAGAGCAAAGACGGGAGCCCCGTTTCTAGAGAGAATGACGTTGCTCGCGGCACCTCAGTATCCCCATTTGGACGGCACAAAATGTGACTGCAGTGAGGCCCTGAGGAAAGCTCAGCGCGCTCCCCTTTTCGGAAGCTGGTCTGACAAAGGTAAAGCCCATCAGATGACAGGGTTGCGAGTTTCGAACATGTCCCGCACAACTCTCTCAATGACACAGAGAGCCATGGATCGTGTGTTGTCGGGGTCTGTTTCAACTCTCTGTGCAACGACTGTTGATGCAAGTACCATTGCAATAGCACAACGCTGGGCTCTACCGGTGCCACGAATCAAGCGTGCGGCGCAGAGGTTTCCACACCGCAACTCTCAATGATGCTGCATTGCGGAGAGTTGGCTGAATTCGTGAGGGTTAAACACTGTTCATTGGAGCCCTTTGGAGTGGATGGAGCATGTGCCATCGTGGGATGTTGTTGGTGGAGTCGATGTCGCTGTTCCAAATGTATCCGTACTTTGGTGAAAATAGCAACCGAGTGAAGACAGTTTTTTCTTCTGCTTCTGTTTGGCTTTCTCAAGCACGACATGACATCATCCCTCCGTGGCGGTGCGCTCCCTCCAACGTTGACAACCATCCCCGGTCCTTGTCTAAGATGAAAATGGAGACTGAGATGGAGAATGGAGATGGAGCACGCGCACGCGGGTCCTGGGCCCCGCATCAGTTTGTTTCTCTCCATAGCCCCGGGGACGAAAGCAACATACGGCGCTTTGCAATACCGTCCTCTCCATCTGAGTACGCCGTGCCAAATCAACGTCAGGTCTCACCCCCAGGATGAAGAGGAGGAGGAAAATTTCAGGAGTGGACTCCATCTGAGTGGCACCAAACAAAACCATCAAAGTCACAGTCTGAGCTGCGAGGCCCATTTTGACTGGCTGCCAATGTCGTCAGTGAGGCATTTGCCATTTGGCGATGGCAACAAGACGACGCTGAAGGGGCGAATTCTCACCAAAGTCTGCCCACCCATGTTCCACGCGCTGGTGCATGTCTGTGTCTTTGATCACGAGACCCATCCCACAGACTCTGCAACTTCTTCCATACGCGAGGATTGCCTCTCATCAGCTTACCCACAAACCACGGTAGGTGTGTGCGACGTGAACCGCACAGCTGGAAATTATCGGGACACCCAACTACCGATATTTGGCGAGTTTCTGGGTCTCAATTAGAAGCCTTACGGCCGGATCCTTATGGTTTAATGTTGGCAATGTTATCCCGAAACTGATGCGAATTCATCGGACTGCAACGAGCGCGTTGGGTCTATCCCTGCAGGATCCTTTGGGAGTTGACTCTGTGGTTGGTGCTTGGATGCCATTCTTATTTGTATCCTGTGTAGCGGTATGATAATAGGATTGGACATGAGGAGAAGGTGATAAGTTTGCAACTTGATCAACAGGCCTGGACTGGAAGGGCCTCCTGCTCGGCCGCCTTGTTATGTGCGGGGAGGGGGATTCTCGGCCAGTGGCCCGGTCCAATCTCGTCAAGTCGTGGAAACTCTGTTGAGTAGACTCGAACTTCCATTCTCCTCGGGACGAACGGTTGGGTTGCTGTGCTCAGGAACCAAACAACGACCGTTGAAGTTGATGACAAAGGCAAGCGACGATTGGTTCGTCGTTGCCCCCCTGAAAGCTGTCCTGGGATGAACTACCACGCCCATGGGCAGATTCTCCAGCGTCTTGAGCCGAAGATCGGCATCAAAAACGGGTAGGCCAGCTGCGGCGGCCTGCTCCCGACAAACAGTGCTTCTATTTCGATTCCATGTTGGTCATTGGCGCCAACCAGTCCCGGCCCAATCGGCAAACCATTCATGACACCCTTCTTCCTGAGGCTCCTTTACGGATGTAGATCGTCGTCCAGAACCCAGAGACCTAGGTATCGCGCTTGTTGTCGCAGGCTTGTAGCCCCGTGATTGATGAGTTTCGAACTCTCGATATTAGCCTGTGGGTAAGGAGGTGAGTCTGGGTCGTCATGACGTCAGAGCCTTTCCCTCGTTGTCCCCGCCTCGCCCTGGTAATTTGGGAACAGTCACATACTCACAGCCGCTGCGCGAGACACTCGGGTCTAGAGTCTAGGCATGGGGTTGCTTGTGACATGAGACGGTCTGGCCCTCCATCAACCTTCTTCCCTAAATCGAGGCCTGTGGTAAAGGTTTCGGCTCGAGCGCTCTGCACTGATGGAGTACCTGTGCTGCATAGATACGGGGAGCCCGAGGGGAAATCTGAGTGGCTTCCTTTGGACTCTTCTTAGCGTGGTGCACTGAAGATGTTCCTGAGAGCTAGCTTCGTTGACATCCGTCTAGAACAAATTGGCAGCTCGGCGATCCCATCTGCAAGGGCAACTGTGTGGCCTGTAGCTGTCACGACTTGAGGCGGATCCAGTGCCTCCACCGAACTATTGGGACGTGCTGGAAGTTGTTGTGGTCGGCAAGCTTTGCAGACTGTAGAGGTCATTGCAGCCGCAGTCGGGCCCTCGCTTAAGCTCGCATCGACAGTAGATCTTCTTTTAGCCCGCCCGTGAAGTGTGACTGAGATGAGTCTTTGACGACTTTCGGTTCGGAACCCCTGGTACGGAATATCTCTCGCTCATCATCAGACCCCGCTGGCAACTGTTTCGTTCTCCAGATTTGGGGCTTACATAAAGTCTAGCCAGAGACGCATTGAGGCGATGGCCTTGAGGATTGTGGTTCTTGTGTTCTAGCCTCGAGGCTTGCTCTCGTGGTAATTAGTGAATTGTGCGGTAAAGTGAATAAGCTTAGATGAAACAAGGATCGCAGCGCCCGTCTCCTCTCTTGACAGCTACTGGTCCGAGTGGGAAATGATCAGTCGGCGCCCAACTTTGATGGTCTCTCAATGGATCCCTGGATGTCGCCTTGTAATCTCCCGAGGACTTCTATATACTGTGTAAATGAAAGGAGCCATATACCCATCGTCAAAAAACGTTTCTCTTGCTTTGATTCGATACGGCTTGAAGGATTCTGGACGAGTCGGCATCCCGAAATGGCTGTGAAGAATGCAGCGTCGTCTCAAACTACCACGCCCGGTTATGCAACGGCCGGGCGGTTTGGTTCTGGCAGCGTTTCGGGCCAATTCGATACTCAAAGAGGCTAAGTACGAAACACTCGACAAGTTTTGTGCCGTGGATTTGACGGCGGCCCGGAAGAATCCTCGTCAATTCTCGTTTCCGAAGCCTTGGTTGCATTTCAAGATGGGGATTGAGCTGACTCGAGTAAGCCCTTGGAGGTGCATCTAGGAACTCGCTGGCCGGGAAAATGACGTCAACCCCCCTTTCAATATCATTAGCCATTCGAAACAAAGCTCCACGTCAAGACAGAGCTGTGTGATGTATGCTCCTGTTACGCGGCCAAGTTGAAGTCTCCTGCATGATGACTGCGGATACGTTTCCGCGTTGCCTTCGAGGTATCGAGGTACCGGACTGATGGATTCCTCAATGCAGTATCATAAAGTAAATCTCACCCATTAGAATGGCTGCCACAATGACCGGTCACAGTCACCAGTGCTGTGCCGCCGCAAGTCTTCAGCAAACAGCGTACTGACGATGTCGGATGTGGTTTACCATCGGGATGGCGTCAACACAAATCTGCCTTGGAAAGTGATGGTAGCCAATGGTCGCGTGTGAACGGGACGGGAGCTATTGCCACGTGCCGTGTCCCGCGCGGGTAACAGTCGTCATGTCCAGTAGCGACAACGGCGCGCCAGGCTAACAGAACGTTGGCGACGTTGTGATAGCGCCACTTAGAGTTCACTAGATGGTGCGTAACGGTCGGCAAGGCCAGTCATCTGGAATAGGATAGTCAGGCCCGAAGCCGCCGTTTAGCGAGCAACCTAGGATGTCGAATCAACGAGCCTGCAAGAGGTGGAATTGAAACGCTGAGCATACCTGCATGGTGGCAGCCACTACAGCCTCGCTGTGAAATTGCACCGTTTGTAAAGGATACGCGATTGACCCGATGAAAGACATGAAATCGGATTCGGCCCTGTCAGTAAATCAGGACCGAGACAGAGCCAACAGCCGTCCGTCCGCTGGGGGCCACCAGTAGGGGGTTCAGGGGTAAATCATGCTCGCTGTCCGGATATTGTGTGCATTGTCTTGACGATTGCAGCGCTGATCGCATCGCTGAATCGTGGTTGACATCAAGAACACTACTTGGGGTTTAGGCGGCATGGCTTGCAGGGCAGAGATCTGCATTCACTAGTGTAGACATTGAATCGCCGCCAGGCAGAAAGGAGACACCCCAAGGGCCTGTTGTTGCAATATGCGATCCGAGACCATTGCCGCTTCTGAACCAATTCCCGACTTCATCGAGACTTGGGCGTGGGGTGTCGCCGGCGACTTGTGTCGGCCTGCTTAGCCGTCGAAGCGATGATCGACTGAATGAGCTGTTAGGTTGTCGCTATTGGCCGACAAGAAGCGCATACAGCCCGTCTTTCGGGATCGCATTCAGACGAACATCCCCGAAGACCCTAGGCTTCAAGCCCATGGCCAGCGTAATGCCCTTCCAACGGCAGCAGTCGTCGGGCATGACCGTTTTGGTGTATCCTGCGATCTGTCAAATGACCCAGAAGTCTCTATCTTCGGACACTGGCCGTCCTGGCGCAGCTCGATTGGGATTCGGCAGCTCTCCAGTTCGTCTAGGGCGCTTCGGCGAGGGGCAAAACGGAGATTGCACAGCCACACGGCTTAAGGGTCCAGGGGTCTTGTGGCAAGCCTTCGCCATCTTCAATATACAACGGGTGTGGTATGGTGGTGCAAGTATTGGTACACGCCGGCTTGATCCTTTGGCGGTAGATGTTTCTGGTAAGGCATTTGACTGCTTATGACGAAGAAGCAACTTTTTGCGTACTGGCAAAAATAGGTATGTCAACCGCTGCACGGACTGACTGAGTACGAATACCTAAGCGTGCAGTCCGAGGTGGCGTTCCACGGATTAGGTTTGACGGGGATAAACGGCTCGACCAGACTTGGAAGGCATCGCAGCGTTGTAGGCTTTGAGAGTTACCGAGCCGCGTGCTGCTGTACGAATGAAGTGTCACATCGATTTTGTCCACCGACCATCCGCGACTCCTAGTTGTGTACCTATGGCCAGAGCGGCCAGGCAGAGAGAGTTGACGGAATGCACCCGTACGAATGGTGCGGTACTAGTTCGCCCTGTACGGAGTAGAAAGTGCATCTGAAGCATTGGACGAGGGATCGGGGGGCTGGCAGATTGTCTTGAGTTAGCGGATGAAATTGGTCGAAAAAAGCAAAGACGGAGAATTGCGAGCGTCCTTCAGCGGAATGACTGGTTAAAGCCCGAGGTAGTTGGGCAGCTGCGTCAATCTAGACGAGGTCTGCCCGAAGGGTGATGCAGATTTTGGACCCTGGAGTCGAGTAACAATGCGATGGAAGTTTTGTGCAAAGAATACACAATGGGCGGACTGCACCGGCGAGCATCTTTGGAGACGAAGTTGTACAAAGCTCCGGCGCCTAATGCCAATACTGAACGTTTTCTCGGAGGGGCGGCGCCGGCATGGGGCATCCAGCTGTCAGAGACGCGATGGCGCAAGAAAGGACCGATCCAAGAGACGACGCCTTAATCAGACGATACCCACCGAGCCCACATAGTACTGTGACAGTAGACACATTAGCAGACTAACATGAGAAGGATGAGGCCTGTGGACGAGGAAAAGAAGAAGAGTGTGCTCCGTACTCCATAGGTAAGGTATGCATGGATGGCACCGATGGCACCGATGGCAGACGGCAGAAGAGGAAGCGCAGGACGGGCCAGGGGCGGGGTTAATGGGAATGATGAAGCCAAAGGGAGCAGGGCACACGGAAATGCCAATGCGAGGATGGGGAAAACAAAAAGGCGCATGGACGCAGAACTGGAAATTGGCTTGTGGCAGTGTGGGCAGATGAAGATGAGGTCGGACTGGCACTGGCAGGTTCTTGAGTTCAGTGTTCTCGAAGATGGAGACGACGGACGCAGGACGCAGGACGACGAGGACGGGGACGAGGGCAGCGGCGATATGATGTGATTGAAGAGCACGGGAGTCCCGTGGAGTTGAATTCTACATTGGAAGAGAGCCTGGAAGCCTGAAGGTGCCTTTTGCGCAACATGGAAAGCACCCATTCTCAGTTCCTTCCGCTGGAAGACGAGGTTCCCAACACATGAAGTGTGAGGCAGGAGTGAATCAGCCGAGCTGGGCACAAGGGAACGGGAGGAGCAAGCCGCCGCAAAGGTCGAGGTGCGATGCCTGCTCTGCTCAGCTCAGCTCAGTACCTTGGGGCAAAGGTATTAGAGAGGTGGCCCAGGCCCCCTCAGATAGAGAGACATTGTTTAGTGAGGCAGGCAAGGTAATGCTGACTACTACCTTCCATGTTTGAGGATAAGGTGCGAGGAAGGCGCCGTTTAAAGTGCCCAGTTGACGATTAAAGTTTCGGTAAGGCGCCCTTCATCGCACACCTGCCATGTGTGGTGTTTCTGTTCTGAGCAAGGGCGTTTTGCGCTTTCCCATATTTGAAAAACACCATAACCCGTATGACCTTACCTTGAGGTAAGGAAGGTAGGCACGAAGTAGACACTGAAGAGAGAACGGCAGGAGCAAGCGGGAGCAATTGACTGGTGCGCTATTTCTTCCTTCTACTTTCCTTCCGGGAAGGTACCTCGGAACAAGGAAAGGTGCCTTAGGGTAGGAAGCGTCAGAGCATTGCTTCCTTGTCCTTGGTACATGTGGCATAGCTGTTTTACCATGTTGGTCAAAAAAGTAAACAAAAAGAAGGAGAGAACAGAGTACCTTACTCCGTGCCTGGCCTTAGCTCAGCTCCCCATGTCAGCAATGTAGGTAGTATTAAAGGTGGTGAGCCCTTTGGGTGTGTAGCAACTGCCTTACATCGAGATTCAATAGTAATCCCGATGATATTGGTTAATGAGAAGGAGCGAGGGTTGGACGGCACACGGGAGCAGGTACGAAGTGCGAATGGGGAAAACCGCCGCGGTTATGGAGTCAAGTAAGGTACCTAAGGTAGGCCTCAGGCACATGGTGCGTATGAACAATGAACAATCTATCGTTCTGGATGTTTATTGCTTCGTTAAAGAAACGGAAGGCACCTGCCTATGGCCTACGTTTGCTTGGCTGGCCGAACTTGTGCCTCCGTCCCCGTCTCCGTCCCCATCCATCACCGAGCATCTCCATTCTCGTCTTTGCACCCAATCTATGGCTACTATCGCTGCTATGGTTAGCTCGAGAGAGAAAGCTGTCCTGTCGCAATCGAGCCTGCACACGGATGACGGCTCGCCAACAATGACCATCAGGGCTAGCCAAGCACCAAGATGGGACACACGGCAACGGCGACGGCGCCGAAATCTGATCCCAAGGACCCCAAGGGACCAAACGTTGTGCGGGCTGCAGCGTACAAGGTACCTTACCTTGTCTCGGGGTGGGAAGAGGCACGCAGTAGGCGCATGAGGGGAAAGTCTACACCGGTATGAAGCCAGGCCCAATCCAGACAGAAGAGGGCCAGAAAGGGCCTGCCATCTGACAAGACTCGCGCGTTTCCCCGTTCCCGCCTGTTCAAGGCTTCAAGCCAGAGTGAGAATAGCTCCCCCGACCACGAGACACCACCCAACTGCACCAGGGCAGGCCGCGCCGCCGCAGAACCGAAGATGAGGGACCGACTACCTTAGACTAACTAGCATCCGCAACTTAGGTCGTAAATGCTAGCAAGGCCTCCGTGGATGGTATCCATACTCTGTGGTCCTTTGCATTTTGCGCAGCACTTTTTTCTTAATTGACTGACGACGTCTTTTGCCTCTCACGTCTATTCCGAGCCGCGATCCCAATCAATCTGCCATACTAATCGGCTCTGTCAGAGAGTGGTCAGCTAAAGCAACTACGTCAGATGGGAAAGGTCGCCGCTGGGACGGAGTAGCGCGGCTTCGTCCCCCTGTCCATCCCCCACTCTCCGAATCTCTCTTCTCCGAGTCTACTGAAGTTAGAAAAAGTGTCGGCTGACTGTGCAGGGGAAGGAGAAGAGCAAAACAGAACGGCCGGCAGAGAGGCAATGCTGTGAGTGTATCCGTAGTGCTGTATACCATCGGTACGGATACAGATACGCTACTCTGCACTTTAGCTTGCGTAATAGCAGCCTTGGCCAAATAAGAAAGACATCGGAGAGTGCAAGAGCTCGAGCCACGATTGAGGTGCCACACTCGTCGGGGTTGAGCTTGACTGGTCGCTTGACTGGCGGCGATGAATGCGCGCGCCCCCTTTGCATAACGTGGGTGATTCTATTCGAAGCTGGGGGCGCCAGAGACAACACTCGACAGAGCAGGGTGCGGATACATCTGGACTGAAAGGATGGACTTGACCTCGGTCTGATGGGACCACAGAGCTGCGCGTTACGGGAGAGAGAAAGAAACAGAGAAATTCGGTCAGTCCGTCACCTCACCTCACCTTACCTTACGTCGTCGGTCGCCTCTCTTGTTCGTTCCCGAATCTCTACATCGACTTTGCAGTACTTGGTACCTTACACATCAGCGGCGGCACTTTCTCATTCTCCCGTATCTCCCATCCATCTGAGTGATGATGATGGGGTAAGGAGTACGTATCCATACTTGGGTGCTCGAGAGAGACATTGGTACAACCGTTGCCGTCCATTTTCCGAAGAGCACGAGGGGCGTGTGCATAAATGAGCCTTGTCGACACATCCCATCCCGGGGGGCCAGCGAGCGGGGGGTGCGATACAATGCTCATTGTCGCGCACTAACAATTATTTTTTCCAAGATGGACAGTCGGCCTGGCAAGGGAGGGGGGATCGAGTGGAGGAAGCCGCCGATGGACATGCCCTGCCCCTGCCTGCCCACTGCCACTGCCCACACACGACCTCACAGTCGCGGTAGCGGTACGGACGTGTGTACAGACCAGACCACCTCACCTCACCTTACCTCCAGTGAGCAGGAGCGAGGGGAGCAGCAGCAGGAGGAAGGGGAGAAACAGTGGCACGCATGTACTGCAAGTCGAGTCCCACCTCCAACGACACGTACCGCTACCTCGGCTGACTGTGTGTCTCACGCAAGACAGCAAGTAGTCGGAACCTCGCATGTCCACCCGACCCGACCAGAAAAGCCAACGAGGGACAAAGTCCAGCCCAGCTGCGCAGTGGCAGCGGAAGCGGCAGCTCCAGCAGCAGGCCGACCTCACACATCACACATCCAATCCAATGGCACCCGACACAATATCGTCTTCTTCCTTCCCCCGTCCGACTCGTTTCTCTACCTGCCTTACTTTACGCAGTACATACCCTACCTTAACGTACCTTCACCGTGCTGTGATTCAAAGGGAGCGAGCGACTGTTTGTTCCTCATACTCAACATCTACCTCTTTCTTCCATTCGACCCAGCTCGACTTTGCTTTCTCTCTCTCTCTCTCTCTCTCTCTCTCGGAAGTAGTACCTGAGTTGACATCCATCATCCCTCTACGTATCCGTACTTTACACAGCTTCGCTCTGCTGTGCATCATTGCTCTGCTCAGCTCTGCTCCCACCTCACCCACCTCGAGGCAAGGAAAAGGTAAAAGGTACCTTACCTTACTGCCGGAAATCCTCCGTTGGATACATCACAAACACACCCCACTGCGATTTCTTCATATCTTCCGCCAGACTTCTCCCATATACCGGCCTTCTTCTCCATCCTTCCCCTCCTACCCGACTTCTCCTCACTTTTGTTGCTATTCCATCTCCAACTTCTGTTAGGTATCCTCCTGCGTTGCCAGTCCTTGCAACCCATTTCACCTCTTTTGTGTCTCTCGACTCAGCTGCTGCTGCTGCTGCTGCTGCCTGACATCAACTAGCTCACCTCACTTCCACATTTCATCCCACTCCCACAACCGCAAACCTCACAGGAAAGAAAAGCGAGAGGGAAGAAAAAAAGAGTACGTACCATCAGCTACTTGTCTTTGCAGTCTTGCCCAAGCACATCGTCAGGTACCCATTCCCCCCGACCATCCTCACCCATGCCCATTTACCCATCTCTTCCAACACCCATTTCCATATCCCACACACCCATGCCCTTACCAGCGTCAACCCAAGGCCCCAAGGGCCCCAGTTCTCTCCTCCAAGGAGGTCCCAGACCCAGGTCCCATCCATCTTCATATCCATCAACCCAGGTCCCAGCCCAAGGGGCGCACTGCACCGTCGTTCAACCCGTGCGCACACCCCCATCCTTACCTGACCTCTCTTTACCTTACCTTGCTCTGCCTTACAAGCGCGCATTCACACATACATACATTAGATACCGCTCATCCCATCCATCCCTCTTCCCTTGGATTTTCTACCTACCCGTCCTGCTTGAAGTTCTGTTCCGACCTTCCATCGTAGCCGCGTCTCTTCTCGCTCTTGCGCGCTCTTCCAACCTCTCTCCCGGCCCCGGAGCATAATACGCATACCTCGCCCACGCACCCGCCGTGTTGTCTACCGTCCATTTACTCACCTTGAGCCACAGGTTGTGTACCAAGCAACGCACCATTACAGGCCGTACCCGAAACCACACACCAAGACTACGAGACCCTTTGGCGAACCAACAGACTACCACTTGCTGTTACTTCTGGTGCGCGCATGGTCTCTGTCTTCCAACGTCTTAGTCTCCTCGTTTGCGCCTCTTAAGCAAGCCGCTACACCCGCCCGATTCATCTCCTCGGCGAAGCAGTTCCAATATCGACAGAAACGCCCACCGCGCATCTAGGCCATCGTGACTCCGCCGCGCATCCTTGTCTGTCCACCTTGCTTCACACACGTACTTACCAGGTACCCACCGCATCCTCTAATATACCGCTCTCTCCCCACGGACGTCATACCGGAGCGGCCTTTTCCTCTCGAACTGCAACTTCTCGACCTTTGCTAGCGGCCCATTCGACTTTGCACATCACCATTTGAAGAACCAATTTCGTATCGGTTTTTTTCCCCCATTTGGTTCCGCGACCACGTACGACGCTATCACCTACCCATTCGCTCGTTTTCACTTCCGACCGCTCTATGAGGCGCCAAAGCTCGGCCTTCCCCCACCTGACCTACGCTCGTTAAGGAAGTTCAGGCTTGCTCAGCTGAATCACGGCAGACGAAGAAGAAAAAAGAGACAGGCGTCGCAAAGCAGCAACACGAGGGCGAGGATTCGGACCGTTCGATCGCTCGCCAGAAAGAGACTGGATTTGGGAGACCACCCACAACTACTGAACACCAACTCGGTATCGCTGTCACTAGGCAGCGCGCAGATCTACTATCAAGATGTTTCGCCAAAGGTAAGCTCTGCCATGTTTTGTCGTTATGCGCCGACAAAAATAGCTGTGCAGCCCGGCTCCCCGCAGAGGATGCGCGCGTTGTTGCGCCATCTCGAAACCTTTTTGCGCCTGCCCGGACATGTACTGACTCGTGTGCCTGTTCACAGAACAAGCGCCCAAAAACCCGGCGATGAATTGCTGGCCACTTTTCGAAAGCAATTCCCCGAGGTGGCTGTTACGACCACGGCCCCAGTTGGCGCCGCGAGCGCCGCCGTTGATAATACGGGCATGGTTCCGTCTATTCCGGGCGTTCAAGAAAGGTCAGTACAAATACCTTCATGAACCTTTTCTGGAGTTTTGCAGTTGCTTTCGCGGCACCCGGCCGCGCCCGCCGGGATGAGTTCAGGCAGAAACGCGGGGTACTCTTGCCCATGTGTGGATCAAGAGGACTCATGCGCAGTATTCCAAATAAGATGCTTGATTTATCCGACTCTGTGGCTAACATTATATTTGCTGTAGAAGCCACAGCCTCAGTCATGAAGCTTTCAGGGATCAAGACCCAACGCCCAGAGCTACGAATGAACCATGGAGGTTCACGCCGTCGCTGCTTGACCCCAACTCGTTCTCCTTCACCAACTTCGCCAATGCTCCGCCCGGTTACTACACTCCCACGCCGGGAGGCACCAACACCATCTATCATCCTCAAGCCGGTGACTTGCACACACCTACCCTAGGGCTCGGCATGGGTCTCGGGACGCCTCTGTCGATGCCTACGTCTGAAGGCGCAATGCACGCTGGGCAGCCTATGATGGACCTCGCCGGGTTCCAGGGGATGCAAGGAATGCACCACCCTCAGCAGTTTCAACAACCCTTCAATCCCTTTATCCAGCCTCCGGCACACCAGCAATCCTTCGCCCCCTCGTCATTTGTTCATCAAGACACCGGATACGAGACTATGGAGCAAGATGGGTCGCCAATGAACTCTGATCCATCTGAAGAGCGAATGGCTTCTATCGACAGCGCATTTCACAACTCGCCCATGGTTGGTTTCCAGGGACGCCAATTCGGAGGCCTGCCCATGGCTGCGGTCATGCCACCATCTGCTGAGAAGTTCCGGTTTCACGCTACTTTGAATGCCCCTACCGCCATGATCAAACACGCCGATGAGATTCCCGTCACGTATCTCAACAAGGGCCAGGCTTACTCTCTGTCTGTGGTCGATACCAATGCTACAATGCCTGTGGCTCCGGGGACCAAGTTCCGCACTTTTGTCCGGATCTCCTTCGAAGACGAGCAGCAAAGGCAGAAGCCCGGCGTCTGCTGGGCTTTGTGGAAAGAGGGACGAGGCACAAACGAAGCTCATCAACGAGGCGGAAAGCTGCAGGCCGTGGAATATGTAGAGGCAGGCCAGCCGACCGAAGGCGACGACAAGAGAACCCGTGTTGAGTTGGAGTCGTCCTCCTTTGACGGGTTTTCAGTGGTTTGGACCCCCGGCATCAACGGCGCCCCCGAATGCAACATTGCCGTACGCTTCAACTTTTTATCAACCGACTTCAGTCACTCCAAGGGTGTCAAAGGCATTCCAGTAAGACTCTGCACCAAGACCAGCACATTCCCGATAGACACCGCACAGCCAGCAGCCGATGCCAACCCGGAGATCTGTTTCTGCAAGGTCAAGTTGTTCCGCGACCACGGTGCCGAGCGGAAGCTTTCCAACGATGTTGCACACGTCAAGAAGACCATCGACAAGCTCAAGCAACAGATAACCCAAGCTGAAAGCGGCATGAAGGACTTTGGAAAGCGCAAGAGGTCGAACGCTGCAGCACAAGTCAAGGGTGCAGATCAGCGACCCGGCAAGGTTCAGAAACACAAGCGAACTTGGTCCATGTCCTCCACCAGTTCAGCCGGGGCCGGAACTCGCCCTCCTCTCGAAGAAGACTTGCACTTCAAGCTTCAAACATTGCAGGATATGTTTACCAGTACCCGACCTGTGAGCGTATTGTACCTACGTGGCGAAGAACTCGACGATCCAGACCTGCACCCCGTTTCGCTTCCTGGAGAGCAAGGCGAACTTGCCAAGGTAGAATCCCGCGAAGGCCCAGCATGGCAAGCACGGAGTGGCCGCAGTTCTGTTGCTGGCTCGTCTCTCGTATCACCTTCGCCGAGCTCCCTATCACTAGCGTCTCAGGCTTCAGTTGTCCCCAATCGTCAATGGGCTGGGTTTGAGGGTGAGGGCTCTGGCGAACCTGCTTCCCGGCAAGGGTCAGACCAACCTACCAAGGTCACCAAAACAGACGATGCGGGCAATTTGAGCGGTTGGATCGAGGCACTAGGAGTGGACCCAGCTTATCGTCCTCCTCCAGAGCGCGTGGTAAAGCCCGCCGCTTGCTTCTACATTCTCCGACCCAACATAACGGAGCCAGAAAAGCGGGAGTACTACCGGGCTATCTACTTGGCCCAGAGGAATCTCAAAGACTTTAACTATCGTGTGGCTGCAAAGTGGAACCTGGATCCTTCGAAGATTCTGCGGACAGTTCACGTTCTCGATCGTGGTCTCGAGGTCGAGATAGACGACGACGTCATCCAAGAACTCAGAGAAGGCCAAGACATGAGGCTCGAAATCAAGGAGATCTTGCCCGAGAACCCCGTCCAGCTCAAACGCGAATGGGACATGGCCATCGACCCAAGCGATGGCGACGCCATGGATCAATCATCTGCACAAGGCGGTTTCGAATTGCGCCTTAACTTTTAATTTCACATAATTGGATCCATCTCTACTTCAGCAACAATTGGATAGGAATCGAATTGGGGACGGGCTTCATTTTTTCTTTCTGCTCGTCACCAGGGAGGCCACTAGGATATGGGTGGCATAGGCATACACGCGCTCGCACACGCATGGTTGGAATATCGCTCCGAAGGCGTTGTTGATTTTGAGATACCAAGTCCCTGGATGGGCCGCTTCTTCTTTTCAACGCTTCTCGCCACACGAATCGTGGGCGACTTTATGATTTGGGTGTTTAGATCTGGGCCACTATGGGCAATCCTGGGCAGCAAAAAACACACAAGATATCCCCCCCTTCCGCAAGGGCCGTTCGGCACACTCTGGAGAGGCTCGTTGGAAGCGCGACGGGCAGACACACGACGAAGAAGATCTCACAGACAAACCAGACTTCTGTGGCCCTTTCGACCTTGCCAATGGCCTCTGATGCGGCCTTTTTCAATCTCTTTTTTCATTTCACGCATCCATAACTTTTACCATACTATTTGGTACCCAACTCTCTGTCTTTCATTTGTTCGAGGCAACACCTTGTGTGTGTTTTTGCTTCCTGAGCGCTCAGGAGCCATGTAGCTTGGCCGATGGAGTGACGCAAGCATTGGAGGGGAACATTGATAGAGACGAGCTCCCTGCACTGCAATGCATTGTCGCTTGTACCATAGCAACATACCCGCTGATTTCTTCGGTCTATCCGGGAACAGAGAATTTACGGCATTTTCATGAAGTTTGCATTATTATCGCAGCGCTCGCATCAAGCATATTTCAAATTGAGATTGCCAGGCCCGAGAGACCGAACCACAGAAACAATGGCTGACTCTAGTGCTCATGTCGGTTCCGTATAGGTCATGCACGGCGGTTATTACTGACTGGGACACAAAAGCCGCCGTTTAGGTCGTTAAGCACGATGATTGGAAGATGGCCGTGTTGTGGCTAATCTCGCGTGGGAAGCGCTCATTTCGATCGTGGGAGCCACCAGGGAGGCGTTGAAACCGCTGTCGAAGTGTTTTTTCAGCTAGCGTCGTCGACGGTCTAGACCACTGTCATCGCGGGTCCGGTTGCTCCATCATAATCGAACAACATGAGCGGAGACTTCCCTCTGGCAATGAAGACGGATCCAAAGTTTCGGTCTGCCGCGCCTGGGATAATCCCTGAATACAGCCATCGAGTCCACAACATCGTCGATGAAAAGCGACTGTCTTTCTCCAGCCGCACAGCGGTTTCCGTCCGATCGGTCCCATTACGACCTGCTCCAACGCCCTGACGCCGCGCCGCGCCGACAGGATCCGGGCGTATTCGTACCCTCGAACAAGAGCGAGGCTCTCGCTTGAGAGTCATATCCAGACCGTCTCGCTGGCCCTCGGTGAGATCACGACAGAATCCGACATTGGGGCTCGTGAATACGGCATCACCTATTTCCTACGAGCTTTGACCCCCGCAGTTCATGTTTGTTCAACGATCCCAGCCAACCGGAGCAGAAGATGCAACTTTTGGGGAACGGGGCCAAACGAAGTTTATTTTCTTGCGACTCTACGGGGTGAAAAAGATTGGGCAAGCACACGGTAAAGGCTGAGGCAACAAGTTTCCTTCGAGGATGGCAACCTAATTCCGTACAGCTGCTTGAGTACCACTGATCCATCAGGCTGCTATTCTGCGATCGGAATTCTCGAATTGGGGTAGAATGACCACTCAACATGCATGCCTCGGTCAGCGAATCAGTGAAAATGTTCGACAACCCTATCGAGTGCTTTCAGTATGGATAGAAGACACATCAGGTGCTCATACGCTGAAAGGGGTCCATCGCGACATACCCCGACAGCTCCGCGGCCACCGACTGGCGAATAGCGGGGCAATTGCTTACTTCGTCCGATCCGTCAGCAGACCATCCCCCCGACGTACCCGGCGAGACACTTACACACCGGCCGGATTCCGGCCATGCCGTGCGATCGGCGCAGTACAAGATACCTCGCGAGGCCGCCCGACAATCCCCCTCACTGCTCTACGTCAAGCCACAGCGATCGCCGCCTTCCATTGCCTTTTGAGATACACGAGCCACTGATGATGTGGCGAGTGCTTGCGTGTTTCGAGGGTCTGGAAGCGCCATGGACTTTTGTCTCATTCGCTCGAAGACGTTTCCTCGGATGACCCAAACATGAGTCAAAATAGGTATGAAGGTTGAGCTAGTAAGCCGACCTACATACGCCTATCCGTGCCGTGAGGCCGAGAAGCCACATGTGGCGCAAGCGACGCACCACAGGACCAAAGATGGGCGACTACCTACGACTACGATGGCCCATCATGAGCGTGTTGGATGCTGCGTTGCTCGGCTACCTCCAAGAACTTGTGGCTGAGGGGTGTGTAGAGAAAGGTTGTTGGTCGATACTTTCGAGCAGCAAACGTGTTGACCTCAAAGAGCTTGATATCAAGACACCAGCGTACACAAACAACTACCCATGCTCATACAATTCGATCGCCTACGTATCATGGTATCATCTCACCAAAAGCGATGCCGTATCACATCACAGGCACATCACCTCTGTAGCCTGGATCAAAGGTGCCTATCATGGAGGCCGCCCTTGGCTAGAGCTGCAAGATGAACGACCGGCCTCTTGTACGGCCGCAACCATGTGGCCGCACGAAACCTCCTTTGCCAGACGATGTCAGAGGACAAGCCCTCAAACGACATTGTGTCTCTGAATCACGCACGGCGACGACTGGATCGTATTGCATTACGCTAACAGATTGAGAGTTGTTGGATCTCTGACTCGATCTTCTGATCGATTTCTCCGGCACCAATAGCCCGGACCGTCTGATATTTCGGAATGCCGAGGTGAGGGTTTGTGATTGAAATACAGTCCAGTCACGTTGAACTGTTGCTGAAAGACGTCAAACCCAACAAATTTCACAACATCGCAGAGAAATTCGAGGCGCATTTCGCCGGTAGTCTCGAAATTTCCTGACAGATACATTCAAAGAGGGGCCTGCGTGCGGGGAATTCGGGGTCAGAAAACGACCTTGGCATGCGGAAAGCGAGGCTTTCGCCTTACCAGGTCGATCTCCTGCGGCTAAAGGTAACGGTAGCACCTTCGGCCCCGGTCGCATGCGACCCCATGGTCCCATTGCTGATGGGAAAAAGAACGTAGGGATACTTCGAAGATTGCCCAACTTGCATCAGAGCCTGATAATGTCTCATATTCTTCAGACATTGTCTAAGAATTTGGAGCTGTACACACCAAATCACCCAAGAAGAGAAAAGTAGCGGGAAGCACTCCTCCGGCCACGCGTCTCATACCATGTCGCGAAGACGCGGTTGCGAGACCCTGCACCTGAAAGTTAATGATTTCCGAAGGGTCTGCATCATGCAGCGGCACGAGTACACGATGAAGGTCTACGCGAGCGGGTGAAGCCATAGGTCCTGCATTCCAAGTACCGGTACATTGGAAAATGGAGTGCCAGCCACGGTCTAGAGATGGTGGAGGGCACTCGCCACAAGTCAGTTCTCAAGCCGTTCAGCAGACGCTTCTGAGTGGCTCAAGATACGAGAGAGACTAGGACCTTTTGTCCTAAGGGAGTGGCTCAACCGGCTTCCCAAAACGGAGCGTTTGCACGCTGATCATTGACGACCACGGGAGCATCTCCAGGACCACGCAGAAGAGCCTGGACCCAACGAGCTGTAAGAGAGACCACGGAGAGACAGCCTTGTCACGCAGCTTCGACGGCGTCTATGGAACACGAAGATACTTCATGCAGAGAAAAGGAGGGCAGTTACATTCCAGATGACCTCTGTGCGCCTGTGACGAGACAGGATGCGCCATGATTGCGCGGCTACTAGCCACAGTTGGTGCCACAGGTCGATAATCCGGCGCCCATGATCCTCCATGGCATGAAGATCACTCCAAACTATATCTCAAAGTCGCATCATTCTTCAGGGGAAGTATCCAGTCAGATTCATCAAGACCATGGCATCTCAGCTGGCCAAGGGTTCAGCCCCTTCGCGTAAAACAATTAGGTTTAGCGAAGGGTTTAAGGCCTCTGTTCGGCTTCGACCTCGCCCGCCACAAGTGTAGGGAAGACGTCGATCACTTGCTTCATGTGGCTTTAGAGGCGAGCCACACTTGGAGCGTTCGAACGATATGTGTGGAGAGTTGCGTGGCTGAAGTGGCTGAGCCGCTGCTTCCCTGGTGGGTGTGCGCCAGGTGTGGAAGAAGTACGACTTCTGACTGGCTCTGGTCTGATGCACTCGCCACAGTTGAAGGGGGACGGATGGGGGAAACAAATGGCGTTCGTGCGTAGGTGCGGCTTTTGCAGCCGTCGGACGCAGTGGGCGCCCCAGGGGTGAGTGTCTTTGGGGTATCGTTAGGAAGAAGTCACTTTCTATCTCGCCAACATCTGGGCCGCTCATTGGGTGACAGGACCCCTACACGATTCCAGACTCTTGGGATCGCCGAGGATAGGGGTGCCACGAGGGCTCGGGACTCGGGAGGCATGGCGGAGGGGTTCCATCAGAAGAAGGGAGTCTTGGACCCAGCCACAAGGGACTCTCGCCAAGTTGAAGAGGATAAGAGTCGACGATGCCCCATGGACCAACGCTCGACGCGGCTCTCTTGGTTGATGGATGTGAGGTTCTGGTGCCCTTTCCACGCTCTTACACCGATCGTGCCCTGTCTTTTTCTCCGATCTGCTTCTGCGACTCCCTTCTTCCTCCAGGACACAGCGACTTCGAGGTGAGAATCCCTCTTCTTGTTTCCTCGTTTCTCCTTACCCCATCCTCCACCTCCTCTCCAGCCACAGTGAGGGACTAGGTTTCTCTGCTTCGGTAGCGGAGTGACGCTTGTCTTGCCGTTGGAACGTCAATGGTGAGCCAATGGCGACGACACATGAGGCCTGTCGGTTTCCTGAAGCGGTAACTTGAGGCTTTTGCCACACCCGAGAGCTCTCTTTTGAGGGAAGATCGCGAGTTCGTGGCGGTGTTCCCCTTTCACACCCTTTCTGGCCTTTGGCTCGGAACGTGGGGGGGCGAGGGTGAGGGAGGAGCGAGAGGACCGTAGGCGAGAAGGGGCTAGGGCTGCAGGATCTCGCGATTCACATCCTCTTCACTATCAACTGGTCTGTTACCTGCTGCATGAGGGCATTCCCCTTGTAGAGCAGCAGCCGAGACGGCGATCCTCGCTTGCCAGCTGGCTCCTTGTGGGTGCAAGTGCTCCCCTTCGGGACCTTGAGGACGGATCAATGCCCCCAGTGCCACCTACAATCGGTCTTGCTCCCTGTAGGGCAGGCGACAAGCGAACGAGAAGCCCTTGAAGCAGCGGAGACAAGCGTTTCCACTGGTCAATGGGCAGGATGCTACGGGTGGCCAGGCGGCGAGCTGTCGCCACGCGAGACAGAAGCTTGCCCCTGGCTTGTTTCCGCGATCGGCAGGGAGAAGATTACTCTTCTGGCGGCGAAAGGGGCATCTATCACCACAAGAGACCACTGGAGAGGTTTATCGCGCGGGGCGATATTCAGATCTGCGGACTCTGTCACCTGGAATGCGACGGTGATCGTGTGGCAGGAGTACCAGTGGAAACGCGATCGCCGTGGGAAGATGCCTTCTAGGGGCAGCTGTCGCAGTATGCCGAGTAGCATTGAGTTTAGGGCTGAAAGGTGCCTTTTCTTTTCTACTGTGTATGCTTCCCCCGTTTCGCCAGCTCGCCACCCTACCTCTCTGCAAGCTCTCAGAGTTTCTCTGGGTGACCTGACCTGACAGGCTGGCGAAGAGGCACGTTGAGTGGCGGGGATCGGCAAACACGTTTTGAGAGGGGGGGGCCTCGGCACGGTTAGATGGGAGCCCATGATCGGCTGGGGATGACAGAACTCTGTGGATGATGGGACGTTTCAGAAGCTTTGTCAAAGAGAAGGGGAACGACCGACGAATGTGAAAGACAGGGATTCTCCCGGATCTTTTTGCGATGGTCTTTTCTTTCTGATGGTTCTGACGGCGAACAAGAGGGATGAGATCTGCAGATCGACCGTTTGCAAGAAGCGGGGAAATCTGTTGTTGTGTATTTTGTTGACTATTTTTTGCGTGGTTTTCTGGGAATGGCCAGTTTGCAAAGCTTCTTTCTGCAGTCATTCGAATCGGCCTGTTTTGATTTTTCAATCCAATTGATTTTTGGATTTACGATGTTTGTTTGCTGTTGATTTTGTATTCTTTTTGCAATGCTCTTATGTTTTTTGGTGGAATTTAGCTGATGGGATTTGGGGGGTTACTTTTCAGGTGAGAGGAGGCGAATGGTGATCGGCGGTGATCGGCCGTACGTCATTGCCCGTTTCTACCAGCTCCGCGACGTTTCGGGGGCGGGGAGCACGTTGCGCGGTCCAGCACAGCGTAGGGACGGCCGGCGGGAGAGGATCGGTTTTTTGCCACATAAGAGATGAGCGAGAATTTAGCTATAATTCTAGTGATTTCTCTTTGCACTTTTTTGCCTGTGCTTTTTTGCTGTGACTGTTCTTTTCATTCGTGCGACTTGGGGAATACGCTCAGTGGAATCTGCGTGGATGGGCGACGCTTTGGGGGCAAGCAGTTTGGGTTTTACGACGACACGACGGCTGTATGAGTTTGGATTGGAGTACGACTGAGGTTGAATCTGGATATCTGGAATGACGGAGATTCGCTTGCTCTGGATGGGAACTTCGCGATGAGGTTGGTGTCCGAGGTCGCGTAGGGGACGGAAAGTGGGGAGATACTGGGCGCGAAATGGGCGATGACGAAGACTACGACGAACACGAATGGGGTACACGATGATACGATTACGACGATAGCGAGAACGTTGCAACGGATTTGCGTTGATGGAGTCATTCGACACGGGTGACGATGGTATAGAGGCACGCGGCCCCGATGATGAGGTCGCTTGCCGATGGATTCTGCCGACTCAACCCACAAGGGGCGATTTCAACATCCGGCACGACGATAAAAGGCAACAGGTGGATGGGAAATGCTAGACTGTGACACCGAGGCGGATCGAAGCGGAACGTGGGATGGTGTTTCCCGACGAGCGGAATAGTTACGAGGATGCTTGGAAGGAGGGTGGGCTTGGGCTGGCATGCTATACTCCCACTACACAGCCATGCTCTGAAGCTACATCCATCCATTGTTTTATGTTTGGGGATGGGCCATGGAGAGTTTCCTTGGAGAATGAGGTCGAGCGGACAGATGGGATGCCTGATCGTGCGAGGTGAGAGAATACCTGGCTTTTGGGTCATGGTATGAGGGAAAGGTAAGTCGGTACTGGGGCCGGACATGCCGTCTCGCTTTGCTTTCGTCGATGTGAAGTCATCCACCATTCACCCCTCAACCGTCGACCGGCAAGGTAAGCGGAGTCGGGTGCTTTCGCCGTTGGGGTTGTGTCTAGGGAGGTTGCTGTTTAAGGTGAGAGTATCAGGTGAGGTATCGTCTATTCCTTCAGCTGTCAGTCGTGGGAATTTCGTTATGGAGTTACATTCGGTGCTATTACTGTCGTCTCTCAAGTAGTAAATTGTTTCACTCTCAAACTTGGGTGAGTAATGTCCCCACGAGGTTCTTACCAAAGGCGTTTGTGGGCCTTTACGGACTGTATACACCCTGCGATAAGCTAGCCTTGCTGGGCCTCGCTGTGGTAACTCTGGGGGAGGACCTCGAGGGGACAAGGTTTGCCCAAGTGGGTTACTAAACGCCCACGACAAACACCTTGTAGGTTGTCGTCTTTGGGCCGCCGAGTGGTGGGAGCGTGCTTATTCTTGTATTTGGTGTATGAGGGGTGGTTTGCGCCCACCCCTCTGTCACCTTCTGCTCTAGGCATTTTTGCGCATCGTCTGTGGTCATTCCGTTTCATCTCTGCCATCATCAGGATAATACGTAGTTGCTACTTGAACTCAAGTCATACAATGGCAAGCGCCATCGGGGCCTCTCGACCATTTCGTCACAATTAGTGGGAGGGAGTTAGAACTACGAGCAGTCTCTAAGTAATTCTTTCTTGATAAAGCCATACGCAGTCCTTGCTCATAGTCGACAGCAGGGCACCTTATATATACCCTCCAACTTCACGCAGCCGTTCAGGCGATCCTCAAGGCACCAGTGATTAATGCCATCGACTTCCTCGGCATGAGATAATTTCTAGGAGAAAACTGAAAGTTACTGTTACCCCGAGATCATCTCTTCAAAGACAAACGTCTCTTTGTCTTGATCTGACTAATGATACCCTCCCGTTATCTATCACGCATGCTCATCCTCCCAACATCGTGAACGAATACGAACAGGTCTGCTAAATCCCAGGAATGACTAGAAGTTCACTGTGCCTCCGAGGTCCCCTCCTTCGGGTGTTGTCACTCGTGCGGAACCTGGCCTCTCTCGGACCTCTTATTCAAGAGAGTCTCCTCGTCTCTTTCCATAGTGTCGCGGAGCCGGCGTAGAAGCTCTTCCTCATAGTTCTTGCCGAAGCCACGTCTCAAGCTTCAACCTCGATGTCTTTTCTCAGTCCCTCCTTAACTTCGAGCCTAACTCTACATGGCCCCCACTCCAGGACCAACTCCACAACATGGAGGGACTACCGACAGAAGAGCCGAAAACAGATCTCATCCTTCTCATCAAGGAATAGCTCTAGCGGGACAGTCTCGTCACTCTCATCACTAAAGCTTGGATCGCGAACCACAACCGGAATTTTCCTACTCCGCAGCGCCTTCCACTGGGCCTTGTCTGTCGTCGGGCGTTGCAGATGATAGGTAATCCTGTCCGGTAACCCGACGAGGTGAAGATACTCGGGTCCACGCTTGCGAGACCCTAGCCGGTAGTGTCCCGTCTTCAAGTACCCGGCCGCGCCGTAGCTAGGATGCGTCAGGTGCTTGTCCACATAGACTCGCTCGATACTCGGTAGGGAGAGGGACCATTCGAGCGCGCCGGACAGGGCCCCTGGGGATATGATATTCGAACTGAGCCAATCGAATCTGACGTTTTGGATAACCCGGAGGATTCCGTCGGCCGTCGCACTAGGCTGAGAACTTGAGGAGGCGTGATGGTCGCTCGAATGTTGGGCACACGGCCACGGCTGCGTGAACTCGATCTCGACGTCGTCATTAATGATCCAGAAGACGTCAAGCGCTGGGCATGCCCAAACATAATCCTCCTTCGAAAAGCCAAGCATGCGCTCTCCAAAGAATGAGGCACGCGGTAGCATGTAGGGTTGGCTGCGATAGCGAAGGGGATGGAAAGTCTTCAGGGCCATGGCCCTGGTCCAAGAGCAGACTTGTAATGGCAGTCGCATATTGTTGAAGCGCTCCCTCGAGGAAACTAGCTTCGTGTCTTGAAGTTGTGGGAAATGTCGTTGTGAGTGGGCTATTACGTCGTCTTGTAATACGCGTCCCGGGAGTTGTAGTCTTTGAGGGTCTTGACTGTGACAAATTTCCCACGTGATGGGCTGGCAATCGGCGGCGGCGCCTGCGATCATTCTGTCGAATATCATAACTATGATCTCGTTTGGGAGATGGGGAAGGCAACGAGACTCCTCCACTACGTCCGAAGTCTTTTGCGGCGTCATTGTCGTAGGCGAATCAATACTCAGGAAGCGTAAAGTGATGCGGTAGTGATGATACTGTATGAGAAATTTGTGATGATGGTGTGTTGCCTCTAGAATTTCTCAGCGTTTGTCAGGTAGGATAGTAGCCATAATATTTGTAAAACCGATGGCTTCAGAGACGGCAGATAAAGAACCTTGAGTGTTCCACCGACACTGGACTCGAACAACTTTTTCTTTCGATCTCCGAAAGAAAATTTTGTCATGAAATGTTGATGCTCTGACGTTGAAGTCGGGAAAAGACGGACAAAGACTTTCTTTGCCGACCTTTCAAGGCATGGGTTTTAAAACCAAAGGATCGTACGCCTGCACGACCAGGCGTCGGGCTTTGAATTCTTTGTTTGGTATCTATGCTTAGAAGAAAGGAGAAGAAAGGGAAATTCTCAAGCACAATATTACTCCAGACTAACTAACTTGGCCCCCTGCAATATGTGTGAGGCATTCTGCAAAAGTAGAATCTCGTTGTCCGAAACTTCCCCACCACCATGTTCATGACGCCGTGGTTCCAAGAGCTTACTCCGTGCTCCGTAGCCACAGTGACACAGAATCATCTAGTATCGTTCCCAATATCCTGTTGGCATCACGGTATCATCCAACCTGACAAGAATTTACAATCTTTGGTCTCATCTGGAGTCAAGTATTTCATTTTGAAGCCTTCGGTCGTCTGAATGATCTCTGCACCACCCTCGCCATCCGTGACGTACAATCGAACTTTCTTATTCTCGAGAAATTCCCAATTAGACATGCCATCAAATTTTGATGTTAAGAGTTGCAAGTCGAGACCTATTCTGTCGTCAATCTCTACCGGCTCGCTCGGGCGGGGGCTTGGTAGAGTCGATAGTGAACGGCGACTCCAATAATATCTCCATGGTTCGAGGTGACAGACTACTTTCCTAAGATTTGGTAGCAACGACAGAGCAGTACAGAAATTGACTGGCTGATTCTGGGAGTATCTACTACCAGGTTCCGCACTGGTGGGAAGGATGATGTTTTGCACTTTCTGTAGGAGTCGAATGCCCTCCAGATTTGCTTCAAAGTATTTGTCTTCCATGGAAAAAGCGTTGATTTCAGGCAACGCCCATCCGTAGGTGGGCTCTTCACCCCGTGATATCTCCGCTCGGATTAACCTTTGACGAACCATTTTTTGACCCGTTCTGTTGATCTGCGAGGGAAGTCTGAGACTTGCGAATCTCTTTCGAATTTCGTGAGACATTCTTCCGTGGTCGCTGGCGTCTAGGGCGATGAGGCTTTTAATCAAATAAGTCCGTTCCCAGAAGATTGGACATGCGGACTGCACAGCTTCTGATATGAGGATATCGATGATGGCCATAAATAATCTAGAAGGCAATGAAGCCGGGCCAACGGGGCGGGTTTCGCTCTCTTTTTCGTCTTTTGTTGCCGACAAGCATTGTGAGCATGTGCATTCTGGATTTAGGGACTTGATACTTGGACTTTCCGCATCAGGGTCATCCGAAGTATTGTAAACCTCAAAGGTAGAGAGTCGACTATCTGCTACTTTTCCGTATACTCGTACGCTTCGACGGCCGAACGGATTCCAAAATGACCCAAACTTGGTCTTTTCGGGGAGATGATGGTCGCTCCATTCGGGAAACTTGTCGGCATCCATAGGAATCATACCGAGAAGGCATTTGGTATCACTCATCTCGATGGTGTCAATGAGGCTTTCCCCATCGAAGATGACTTCTTTCAGTTGCAGCAGATTCTCAACAACTTCGAGAATAGCCATGTTGAATTCCAGGATATGAAATCGTCGAATTTGTTGCATGAAAGCGTGGGCCTCGAAAGTCGGGAGATATATCAATGAATCGAGGAGGCTTCTAAAGTAATAACTTTCCACTTTGGGTACCCGGAATAGATCAACGTAAGGTAGGACGAAGATGTCAGGGCCCGTTCTCTCAAGATAAAAATGCAGCGAGGGAATCGGTATGAAGACCCTACTAGTGAGCTCTCTGCATTTCTTGTTGATCTGTAAAGGAATAGAGATGTTTCGGAATCGATGGACGCTGAGCGGTCCAGGGTAACCCACGTCGCCAGTGAGAGCGAGCCGGAAGTTCGACGGAGCGTCTTCTGCGTACTCTAACCGCCACTCAATGGCCCGTGAAGAAGCTTTCGCATCTGAGAGGAAGGCCTCAATGATGGCAAAAAATATCTCGGTGGGGATAGAGTCAGGGCCGGCGCAACCTGGAAGCGCCGGACGAAGTTGATGAGGAGACATCGTTGGATGACATAGATTGGCTCGAAGAAAAGTAAGTGGTAAGAAATTCAGATGAGAACGAAGTAGAAGCTTAAAGTGATTTTGGAAGAAGCGGGAAATCTGAAAGGAGTAGGAATGCCCCTCCTTTCCAGAATGAGGGAGGATGCACCATTTCGCGGCAAAGATTTCTACCCTTTTGGGCCTTATTTTATCCGACATATTACAGGTACCTGGAGGGCAATGTCTGCTGCCTTGAACAAACGATGACTGACTTTGGAGCTGCGGAGCCGCAAACCTTCGAAAGGAACCAAAGACTAGTGCCAGAGGCGACAGAAGGGAGGAAGCACCAGGAATATCAGCGGGCACAAATGATAAGAGAGCCCCAGCCACCTACCTGTTGGGGTCACAAGGCAATCAGTTGGTGTATTATGCCTATAAGCCGTTCCGTTCTCACAAATAATACCTTACATCGTACAGAGCATGTTTGAGATGAATCCGCAGTGAAAGCATGAACAGAGGAGTAGGAGGTAATGAGATTGCGCTAAACGTTTGGCCAAATTAATTGTATTTTCCACGGCCTACTCATTGCTTTCGACTTTGACCTGAACTGATAATGTATACCTCGCCCGAGACGCGGCAATCCCAGAGTCCGCGGGTTCATCGTAGCTCAATATCGCGTACAAGTACAAATGGCTATTCTGAAGCTTCAACTCTCCTTGTCATTATACTCAAGGTCGGAGGGGCAGCAGGAGCAGTCGGGAAAAAGATGCCTCACGCGAATACCGTCTTTGGTAATTTTCATCTCCATAACAGCCGGCTTGATATCATCCCTGAACGCAAAAAGCTCAATCTCACGTCTCTTAAACGGAAGCCACAGCTTGCGAAAGGCACGACCGTGTCTCTCCTCCCAAATCTTCATATCCGGGTACCGGTGACCCTCGACCTTCATCCAGCCTGGGTGAATCGCCAGGAGCTCGGGGTCATCGTACATGGGCACGGAATAGCCGGCGATAATGGAGACCGTCTGAAGGCTCGGGAGCGTTGACATCGCGGCGACAGCGACCTTGTTGTTCTTCTGAAAGAAGCGAAGTGTCGGGAGGAAGACGTGCTGGACGCCGCTCAGGAAGTCGTGGCCCAGGGGAGTGGGAAGCTGAATGGCCGACGAGCATTTTGTCTCGCGCATGGGACGGGCTCCTTCGGTGTCGTTGAAGTCGGGCGTGAAAAGGTCGACGTCAGGGCGAACCCAGGCGTCGACAGCAGAAAGGGGCGAGTAGTATGAGTGGTTCTTCTTGACGGGCATGCGACGGAAGTGGCGATGTACCATGGAGCGCGTCTTCTTGTCGATTTGGAGGGGAAGACGAATGCTCTGGAAACGGTCGAGTTCGCTCATCTCAACCATCTCGGAGCCGACGTTATGGCCTCTGATCCGAAGGACGAGCTTGGTCGGGGCGTCGTGGTGGTAGTCGATGACCCATAGGACTGAGCGGTTGTCGGCGAGAGCGTTTTCGAGGTAAGCATCGATGATGCTGAGAAAGATCTCGCGGGGCAGATCTGCAGGACTTAATTTGCCTCGTCGGATAGTGGATCGCGACATGCCGGCGAAGGAGGCTGTCGAGAGGACTGTTCGGTCTGCGAGGCGAACTTGACCGCCTTCTCCTTTGGTGTTTGAAAAGCCTGCTGGCGAAGATGAAGCAACGGCGTCAGACGTCATTGTATCTAGATGAAGAGATTTAGCAAATGAAAAGTGGTAGTGATTGCGGCGAGTTGTCTACTTACCTTCCGACCGCCAGAATTGAGGATCTGACGGTGTTTTGTCGAATCCTTCTCAACACTCCGACCTCAATGCTAGAAGAGGGTGGAAAAGGAAAGAAGGGATGAGTCGAGGTATGAAGATTAGGACTTTGAGAAGATTCGGTTTCATGTGAGTAGCCGCTTAGTCGTCATGTTGGGCTTTGTTTGTTTGTCCGCCTGCATACTCACCCTTGACTTAAGGTGCAGAATCAGGCCTATGGCAGATTGATCAACCACAATACGGATCAACGTCCTGTCACATTTTTCTCAGAAAAGCTGAGGCTTCATGAAAGGCCCTGAACTGGGGACAACGACATACATACTCGGTGAACATGTGCAAAAGAAAACGAATCACCTTCGATGAACTGTGCATGGGACAAAGACTTTGGTATTTCCTCATTACGACTTCTCATGAGCCAGCGTGTTGAACAACCTGTATCCTCAGTACGTCCTTCTATGATAGACTGATTCTTGGGGCGAGAGCTACCCCAACTGCCACACCAGTCTTTCCGTAACCACAAAGCTGGGTATCTATCCTCCTTCCAAAGGACAAGTGTGAATCCATCCCTTTGTACCATTCGTGATCCGCCAACGTCAAAGTCAGATTGCCAAAGATTCCAAGACCTGCTTCATACGCTCTCTCAACTCTTCGACGGCTTCGTCGGCATGAGGCTGAATGTATGTGATCATGATCTTGTCACGACTTGGGTGTAACTCCATGATGGGGCGCTGGTCATTGTCGATGACCCCGAAGAGCTTGACTCCTCGTGCTTCAAGATGGCCGGCCCATAGAGTTCTGAGTGCTTCAGAGTCCTGAGTGCAGAATTGTGCAAGGCCCGGAAACTTCTTCGGGTCGACCTCGTGGATACCTGGCTTCATTCTATTGTGAAGTTTGCCAAATCTTCCAACGTTGACTGTGATTGACTTGAGGTTCGGGAGTCTGATCAGGGTTGAAAGGGACTCCTTGTTTGCAGTGATGAGGTAGCGCAAGCGCAGAAGAAAGATCTTTTCGATGCGAGAGAGGAGGGCGTAGCCAGAAGCAGAGGGCAGAAGCACAGCTTGGTTGTAGATGAACTGTTCGGCCTCGCGGCCTTCTTCCAGAGATGTGAAGAAAGGGACGAACTCGTCTGTGACAGGGACGTATGCTTTGACTGGGCAAAGTTGGCGACTGAGTCCGTCGGGAGTGGCGACCATGAATGGGAGTCTGGTAAAGGTCTTCTCGGTCATGCGTCGGGACTGCTGGTTGATCTGCGAGACAAGGCGAAGCTTCTGGTAGCGCTTGTAGGTCACGGAATAGGGCTTGTCCTCTAAAATGTTGACATCGTTGAGGACCAGCTTGGTGGCCAGGCTGTGATTGTAGGCGAGAGACCAGACCTTGGTATCGTTGCTCTTTGCCATATCGATGAGCTGTTCAACAACGTGAAGAAAGACCTCGTATGGCACACTAGCCTTCATCTGAGGCCGCTTATTCACCGCTGCGACAACAGAAGATGGCAAAGGGTCTGCCATGATGGCGGTGATCGTTGTGACTGGTGGTGGTTGAGGTGTGATAATATTGTGATATTGTTGTTGCTGTGGTAATGGGTACGGTCGCGGTAGTGAAAGTGAGAGAAAGGGAGAGTGGGAAGAAATGGATAAGCAGGTGAGTATTTTATACCACAGCAATAGGGAATCTTCGAATTGTAAAGAGGAAGGTGCAGCTCACTCAAAACAAAAAGGAAGGAGCAGGAAAATTGTGAGTGTGATTCAATGTGATGAAGAGGAGGCTTCCGGGACCGAGAAGGACGACAGTGGCTGGACGAGACGAGAGACACACTAAGAATCATCAAGGCCATTGAATCAAGGCTGTTTACAACTGGGATATGATGCCTCTTTCAAGATGAGTAAGGTAAACAAATAATTGGCAGTCTTTTCCGCGAGCCCTTCGGCCTATTGACATGGTGTGACGATAGCTTCACCTCAGAGCTTGAGATGGATTATAAGCCGAGGACTGCCACCGTCATAAAGTCACTATCAATCTTACCCTCTGAACTTGCCGAAAGTGTACCATGCGGCCCTCCATATTGTACATGCGTCGGTAATCAATGCTATGGTAGAACGCGACTGGAAATTTGCATCTGGTCTTACCGTCTTTTATTTGGGCTGGCCGTGGACGGTGACAACTTTCTTAGATAAGAAAACAGCATTTTCTGATCGGACCATTGTAGCTATATCTCATGATGATATCACTGGTGCAATGAATTGAGACTTCATGGAGTTTACGAATGAGTATTGTGATTCATACGAACGACTAGCTGTCTGAAGCCCAATCCTCCCACTTGTCATCTCTTCGTATGAGCTGAATGATACCCCTTGTTACAATCGAACAGGAGCCAGTATCGTGGAACTCTGAATATCGCGAGTACGCAATAAGGAGGCAGGAAACCTCGTGTCCATCTCTGCCCATCAGTGACAAACACCCATAACCATCACAGCCACTGCACTAAACGCTACGGAATTCGCCTCCGCGAGCCAGATCATCGCGACTGAGCATATTCAGCTGACCACCGTTGTCAGCCTTCATAGCAAGAATGACCGGGTGACGCTGATTATCGTAGCAATGACAGACGGGGTCGAGGAATTTCATGCGGACGCTGCCATCGTTCTTTCGAATGAGCTCGAGAAGCTCCACGTCGCCGGCACCAGGCGCGTAGCACACGAGCTTGATGCCCTTCTGCTGCAGCTTGGCCCAGACGGGCCTC